CAAGCTCAAGTCGCTCAAGGACTACCGACGAGCTCGTGGTCTGTGTTTCAAGTGCGGCGAGAGGTGGGGGCACGACCATGTGTGCCCCATCACCGTCCAACTGCATGTGGTGGAGGAACTGCTGGACGTTTTCGGCCTCGACAGCTTCGTCGACACACAACTGGGTCAAGACGAGTCACCTCAAGAAACAGCCATGGCCATCTCTCTGTCAGCAGTTACAGGAGGGGTGTCAGCCAAAGCATTCCAACTCAAGGCATGGCTACAAGGCCGGGAAGTTCTCATGTTAGTTGATTCGGGCAGTTCCAATTCCTTCGTCAATCAGTAGCTTGCCCAACATCTGTCTGGAATCCAGCCCCTCGCCAAGCCAAGCCGTGTGCGGGTGGCAGATGGGAGTGAACTGATCTGTTCAGAGATGGCCACACAATGCGCCTGGTATGCGCAAGGACATGAATTTTATACAGACTTGAAGGTCCTGGCTCTGGGCACGTACGATGTCATCTTAGGCATGGATTGGTTGGAAGAACACAGTCCGATGCAAGTCGATTGGCGCGCACGTTTCCTGGAGATCCCTACTCCAGCAGGACCCCTTCGCCTTCAGGGACAGCATCGACAACTTGCCAGTCAATCAACAGTCTGCAACTGCAAAACTTGTGCAACAAGGGCTCTGTCACTCATGTCATACACCTTTGCGTGGTAGCACCCATGCCCGAGGACTTGGAGCAAACTCCAGAGTGCATTCAGGAAGTGTTGAACCAGTTCCCTGATGTATTCGAAGAGCCAGTCGGACTCCCACCGAGGAGGGCGTGCGATCATCGCATTCCTCTGATTCCAGGAGCGCGACCAGTCAACGTCAGGCAGTACCGTTATAAACCAGAGCAGAAAACTGAGATCGAAGCTCAGGTGGAGGCCCTGTTGAAATCAGGTGTGATTCAGCGTAGTGACAGCCCATTCTCCTCTCCTGTAATTCTCGTGAAGAAAAAGGACGGCACCTGGCGACTCTGCATCGATTACAGGCAGTTAAACGCAATCACGGTGGTCGGCAAGTTTCCAGTTCCGGTAATTGAAGAACCTCTCGATGAGTTGCATGGAGCAGCTTGGTTCTCCAAGTTGGACTTGCGAGCAGGCTACCACCAGATCAGATTAGCCCCTGGGGAAGAACATAAGACAACTTTTTCCACGCATCAGGGGCACTTTGAGTTCAAGGTCTTATCCTTTGGTCTAGCTGGAGCCCCTCCCACCTTCATTGAAGGGCTAACAACAACTCTCAAGCCAGTGATGCGCGTTTGCGTTCTCTGTTTCTTCGACGACATCTTGATTTTTAGTGCTTCGTTGGAGGACCACAAAAACCATGTAAAGCAAGTACTGGAACTTCTCCGAAGGGACAACTGGAAAGTGAAACGCAGCAAGTGCGCTTTTGGGCCCGCGTGCGGCCCGGCCCAAGAAGCCCAACCCACGCATCACCGGCCCAACATAGGTTAACTGAAGCCCGCTCGGACAGGGGCGGATCCAGACTTAAAATTACCCGGTGTCCATATAGAAGAACACATGCCTACATATCAAACAATTGAATGGCCTACACACTAAGCCAATAAGTGCATGCAAATTGCACCCGGTGCCAGTGACACCGGGTAGCTATACGTAGCTTCGCCCCTGCGCTCGGAGGCTACTTAAGGAGAGGGGCGACACAGAGCTAGGGTTATCCGGTGGATCACGGCAAAGGCGGCTCGGCTCTTTTCCCCTTCCCCTTTTCTGTCTCGCGACGAACCCTAGCCATCCCAAATTCTTGTATCGTCCTGTAATCGCCACCAATCTTGTATCCGCGAGTGATTGTTGCTAGTAATCGAGAGAGAGCTACCAGTACCCTAACAGGAGGAGAACATAGTTGCAAGGTATTTCCAGAGAGCAGCAGCGGTGGGGATTGATACTACCTGAATCAAAACTTCCTTCGTCAGGTTGTTGAGGAGGTAGCCGAGAAGGAGCTGATCTTGCCGAACCCAAACAGCATGCTCGGGATTGGCGATGGTGCTGTCCTTCCCATCCTTATCCTTCACGGCGCGAAGCTTGGCCGGTTCTGAATCAGTCCCATCGAGGAGACCATAGAACCCAGCACTACGGACTTGAGGAAGAATCTGTGCTCGCCAAAGTATGTAGTTCTGGCGGGTGAGCTTCTCGCTGACCTGGGTGGTCAGAGCCGCGGTGGAGGTTGATGAAGACGCCATGATGATGGGTTTGTGTTTTGGTGTTTGGGAGATTGGTTTTTGATCTGGGTGTCTGTCGATGGGCTAGCGAACTGGTGTTTCTGGCGATGGTTCTATCGATCTAAGGAGATATTGCTGGCGATGGGTTTTTCGATCTGGGGATCGCTAGATGTATGGGAAGAGTAATGCTCTGATTACCATATTAGTTTTGGTGGAACGTCTTGCCCTTTCAGGCTGACGGGTTCATGTTATATATTGGGGCGCACCTCCCATAGACAGCGCATACATGGAGTTCGATCCTGAGACGGATCGTTACAGGGAACGTGAGAGACAAGAAAGGATTACAAAGAGATGTCGGTGCTAACAAGATATCCTAGGAAATATATATGAGGCAGTCTAGAGTCCTGTAACTATACATGTTAACACACTACAGAATATACATTCTCTTTAGCTGCTATAACCTAGCCTTGTAGGATTTGCTTTAGATAGGAAAAAAACAGGGGCACCAGCGTGCTAACCAGCCGTTGTTATCTGTACAGCATGATATTTTGTTCTGGAGCTGGAGCCAAGATATATCCTGTTGTACTCAACTACTGGGTTTACAACTTGACTTACATCTTCAGTTCCTTGACTTCTTCCTCTCACATGGATGTAATCTTGCTTTGGTGACTCTTCCAGTGAAGTATTTCTTGAATCAGCTTCAGCATCTTTTCTGGAACTGCCATTATCATCACTGGATTCGTTCTCCTTGAAACACTTCGCTTCTGCATCAGTCTGCACATAAAATTCCAGTCAATGAAAGATCAGGGCAGATGAGAAAGAAAAACCAATCTCTCGTTCTCTGCATTTCTTCCGGTAACACGCAGGAGGTCCGCGTGCTTATATGTTTAAGAACAATCAATCGTTCAATTGCCGGCAAGAACAGGCACATGAGCACGTGGGCCGGCCATTTATAGTCGGTTTTCTGCGCTTTTTTGATTGGTTTTTGGTTTTTGTTCTTTTTCCTTCCGGTTTTCTTTTGTTTCTTTCATTTTCAAATTTCTTCTTTCCTTTTCAACTATAAACATATTTTATACATGTATTTTTTTTCAAAATAAACAGTGAATATTTTTAAAATACAGGACGAACTTTTACAGCACAATGGATATTTTTCAAATACTCAACAGGATTTTTTTAATAAGCAATGAACTGTAAAAATGGTTAATTCTCAAACTTATTGTAACAATATTTTTCAAAAAAATCGCTTTTTCCTATTTTTGTTTTAAAAATGATATGAAAATGTAATTTTAGGACATTCTGGAAAAAATTATTTTTTTAGCCGTCTGAAAAAAGTGTTGTTTTTAGCGAAGTCTGAAAACTATTTTTTTCAGACAAGTCTAGTTTGCTGAAGAGAAAGAAGTTCGGCCCTCTCAATGGCGGCCCAGGCTATATACGTTTTATAGCGGTCCAAAAATGCGTAACCCCGGCAACTTCCCCGTCGCCGGCGCCGTCGCTCCTCCGTCCGCTTCTATCCTCCCTCCCGGCGACTTCCTCCGCCCGCTCCTATCCTCCGTGCGGCGCTCGCATGGAAGAAAGAGAGAGCAAGGAGGGGAGGGCGAGCCACGCGCTGTCGTGCCCTGTCGCCTGACGACGGAGGTGCCACCGTGAGCTGCGTGCAAGCGAAGAAGAGAAATGCCCGCGCGCCACCACCTCACCATCGCCGCCGTCGCGAAATCCCACGCCGCGCTGCCCAAGTCCGGTGTCACCTCCCCCACGCCCTGGAACCAGCTCCTCACCGCCTACTCCCTCTCCCCGCTCGGCCTCGTCGCCGCGCGCCAGGTGTTCGACCAAATCCCGCGCCCGGATGCCGCCTCCTGGAACTCCCTCCTCACCGCTTATGTCTCCGCTGGCGCGCACCCCGCCGCGTGCCGCATCCTCAGGGCCATGCACGCGCGTGGACTGGCCGCCAGCACCTTCGCCCTCGGCCCTGCTCTGCGCTCCGCTGCTGCTTTGGGCTGCCCTGTTCTCGGCGCCCAGCTGCACTCGCTCATCGTCAAAGCCGGCCTGGCCAACAATGTCTTCGCCGCGACCGCATTGCTCCACATGTATGCAAAATGTGGCCGCACGAGGGACGCTCGTCGGGTGTTCGATAGAATGCTGGAGCGGAACACTGTTTCTTGGAATGCACTCATTGCTGGTTATGCGGAATCCAGCAAGGTTGCTCCAGTAGTTCAGCTGTTTGTTGAGATGGAGAGGGAGGGGTTACGTCCAGACGAGGCAACATTCGCCGCGTTGCTCACATTGGTCAATGACTCCAGTTGTTTCCTGATGCACCAGCTGCATGGGAAGATTGTCAAATATGGAACTGCGTTGGGCTTGATAGTGTTGAATGCAGCAATCACTGCCTACACGCAATGTGGGGCCCTGGAGAATTCTAGAAGCATCTTTGATGAAATTGGGGACAGAAGGGATTTGATATCATGGAACGCAATGCTTGCAGCTTACACTACCCATGGGATGGAGTATGAGGCGATGGGATTCTTTGCTAGCATGATGCAGGCGAGTGGAGTTGAACCTGACATGTATAGTTTCACAAGTATCGTAAGTGCGTGTGCAGAGCATCGCGATCACGGAGGGACAGCAATTCATGGTTTGGTGATCAAGAAGTGCTTCGAAGGAGTCGCGCCTGTTTGCAATGCTCTGATTGCCATGTACACTCGATTTAGTGAGAAATGCATGATGGAAGATGCATATAAGTGCTTTGATTCCTTGCTGCTTAAGGACACCGTCTCCTGGAATTCTATGTTGACTGGGTATTCGCAGCACGGTTTGAGTGCTGATGCGTTGAGATTCTTCAGATGTATGCAGTCAGAAAATATTAGAACTGATGAGTATGCATTCTCTGCTGCCCTGCGTTCATGCTCAGACCTTGCTTTACTTCGGCTAGGTAGACAAATACATGGTTTAGTCATCCATTCTGGTTTTGCTTCCAACAATTTTGTTTCTAGCTCGCCGATCTTCATGTATTCTAAGAGTGGCGTTCTTGATAATGCAACGAAGTCTTTTGAGGAGGCAGATAAGAGTAGCTCTGTGCCCTGGAACTCTATGATGTTTGGTTATGCGCAGCATGGACAGGCGCAAGCCGTGCGCAGCCTCTTCAATGAGATGCTGGAGCTTAAGGTTCCTCTGGATCATATTACATTTGTTGGCCTGATTACTGCCTGCAGTCATGCTGGTCTTGTGAACGAAGGTTCAGAAATCCTCAATACGATGGAGACTAAGTATGGAATTCCTCTTCGGATGGAGCATTATGCATGTGGCATTGATCTGTATGGGAGGGCTGGGCAGCTTGACAAAGCAAAAGAGCTTATTGACTCTATGCCATTTGAACCAGATGCCATGGTGTGGATGACCCTATTAGGTGCTTGCAGAATCCATGGGAATATGGAACTTGCAAGTGATGTGGCCAGCCATCTGTTGGAGGCAGAGCCTAGACAGCACTCCACATATGTTCTCCTCTCCAGCATGTATTCTGGTCTTGGGATGTGGAGTAATAGAGCATTCGTACAGAAGGAAATGAAGAATAAAGGACTAAGCAAAGTCCCTGGTTGGAGCTGGATCGAGGTGAAGAATGAGGTGCACTCATTCAATGCAGAGGATGGGTCGCACCCAAGGATGGATGAAATATATGAGATGTTGAGTTTGTTGCTTCACAATTTTCCCGTGCAGCCTGTGCATCAAAAAACAACTGGAGCCATCGACTGCTGTAGGCAACTCGCCTCTTAATATTTTTATTATCATCTTTTTACATTTATGTGCATCAATTCTACTCTTCTCTTTGTTTACTAACACATGATAATTTGGTTGGTCACAGAGCTATCAAATTATGGGTATTAACCAGCAGGCACACTTCTCTTGTATGTTCTGTGGATGCACATTCGTCTGCTCTGATTGCTAGTGGCAGTGAAGACCCCTCTGTCAATATATGGAAAGGTGATCTGTTTTGTATGCTTTGGAAATTCATGTTAAAATGCAGTTATACTTTTTCATTGGATAGGATTTGTTTTTTACTTATATCTTCTCCATTGAAAAACTCTTGAAACCCCGACCTTTCAACTGAGGGTACTATCCATTATACAAATGGATTTGTCTAAATAAATGTAAAATTGTGGTAAAGTCAATGTCTCCCTTGCTATGCTCCAGTCTATTCTAAAAAAACAAAAATAGTTCTAGTCCGTGATTGTACTTCGCCTTAAGCGGGGACTTCCATTATAAGCAAATGGTCCTGCAGATCTTTGATCTTAAACATATTTGAGTAGTTGCAAACTGGAAAGATCACTATGATACAAACCATGAGAAGAAGTAATAGTGATCTGCTTTTTGTTTTTGAGCATTTGGATTCCTGCTTATTCGCTTGACTAGTCCATGACCATGAGCAGCTTCATTGGCTTTTCTTGGGAATTGGTATGTTAATCAGTCGATGTTCCAGTTTATTAGTTATTGTCAAAGTTTGAGCTAGAATTGACTTAATGCTCCAATGTAACTGCTTCGAGAGCACAGACTGGTAGGCTGATTGGACATGGGAATTCGCAAACCTACACTGCCATCTTCTTTCCAAGTCGCACTGGTAGGTGTTATCAGTGCATGTTCTGATGGAATCGTGAGGATATGGACAACCAGCCATGATAGGGTTCTGCAGTGATGAGGAACGTGCAGCTTATACACAGATCTTATTTCTCAGCACACACACTTAGCAGGTTCGTTTCTATCTACTGCTTAAAGTGACTGTTTAAAGACAAGGAACAAGAAGTGGACAAGAATTGCAGATGGAGAGAGACAATGCTAGCTGGAAGATCATTATGCAAAAAAATAAAATAAAAAAAATCCCAGCTTCATTCTAGGTATTACTGCTACCATGCTGTTCTTCAAATCTTGTATTGCTCAACTGAAAGCTTCAATCTTGTTTTTCCATTTTCCCCCATCCAGCAATATCAGACTTCTCTTAATTGTTTGCTCTCCGATATGCCACATTAATGTAATTGAGAATCTTTAGCCAGTTAGCTTTATTTGATATTGTTACGTCCGTAGAGGCCCACCGGGCAATCTTAGCCCACAAGTTATCTTAGGTTAATTCTTACGCAAGTTATCTTAGGCTAGTCATTTTGAGGTTATAAATATTAGTTGTAAGATACCTTTTGAGATTAAGCAATAAAGATATTATCATCTTCTGTTGCCCGGTTCCCTGAGGAGTCGGAACCCTAGCCGCCACCAGCCAACCGCCGCCGCACCTAAACCCTAGCCGCGAAGGCGCCCACTCACCGGCGCGCCCGCTCCAGCCCTCGTCCACCTCCTCCTTGTCCCTATAACCTGCGTAGCCGCACTGGTAGGAACCCTAGTCCTACCAATTTGGTATCAGGTACCCAGGTTTCGACCATGTCTTCGCCGCCTCCAATTTCGCCACCACCGCCGCTGCCCGTCAACTCCACCACCGCCGCCGCTTCATCGCCGGGTGTCACGGCCTCGCTCTCGGCGGGCGCCACGGCGTCGCTCTCGGTGCCGATCTTCCCTGCACCCGGCACCGCGCCGGGCCACGGCCTGCCGCCACCCCCCGTCCAACACGCGCCGCCATCGCCTCCCCCCGTGCCGCAGCAGTTTACGCCGGAGGCCATGGCCGGCGTGCTCAACGACTTGGTCGTCGCGGTCCAGGGCATCCGCCTCTACTTGGCTAGCCCGTACGGGCCGCCCCCACAGCTCCATCCGGCCGTGACCGCGGGACAGCCGGCGCTGCCATGGCACTCCGTCCCCGCGGCCATCACCGGGGGTTACCCGGCGCTGCCCTCACCGGCGGCTCCGATGCCGCCTTGGCCACAGTGGCCGACGCCAGCGCTCGGGACGCCACCCGCGCCGCCAGCAGCCGCCCAGGGCCCGCATCAGTGGCCGGCCTACTCCGCCCCCCGGCCATCGCCGGGGGCTACCCGGCGCTACCATCGTCGGCCGCTTCCACGCCGCCCTGGCCCCAGTGGCCGACGCTAGCGCTCGCGGCGCCACCCGCGCCGCCAGCAGCCGCCCAGGGCCCGCAGTGGCCGGCCTGGGCCGCGCCACCCACCGCCTCGCCGTCCCTCCCGGCGGCCACAGTGCAGGTTCCGCCGCCGCCACCGCCCAGCCCTAGCCTGGGCCGGTCCGCGCCAGGCGGTCTTCCGATCCAGGAGGTCCGGTTCCCATCGTCACCATCTCCGCTTCCGGGCTGGCTCCACGGGACATCGCCTCCGCCGGTTTACACGGAGGCCTGGGAGCCGCCGGGTTCCCAGTTGCAGCCCGGGGCGTCGGGGGCCACGGGGGCCTACGCCGGCCTTCCCACCATGGACCAAGCACCATCATCGGCTCTCCGCCCCGCCGAGGCAGTGGGCCATGGCGCGCCAAACCAGCAGCCGCCCCGGTTCGCCAAGCTCGACTTCGCCACTTATGACGGCTCAGATGACCCACTTAACTGGCTCAACCAGTGTGACCAGTTCTTCCGCGGGCAGCGCACACCCGCGTCGGAGCGCACTTGGCTGGCTTCCTACCATCTCCGCGGGGCCGCCCAGACATGGTACTACGCCCTCGAGCAGGACGAGGGCGGCATGCCCCCGTGGGAGCGCTTCCGCGAGCTGTGCCTTCTTCGCTTTGGACCGCAATTACGCGGGAGCCGATTGGCCGAGTTGGGCCGCCTACCTTTCACCTCCACGGTGCAGGATTTCGCCGACCGCTTCCAGGCCCTGGCGTGTCACGCGCCAAGTGTGACGGCCCTGCAGCGGGCTGAGCTCTTCGTCGGCGGCCTTCCGGATCACATTCGCGTCGACGTGGAGCTTCGCGGACCCCAGGATCTCCAGTCGGCCATGTACTACGCCTGCGCGTTCGAGCGCCGTGCGGTGGCCATCCAGCAGGAATCACCATCCGGACCGTTGGGTCGCTACCAGGGCCGGATTCCTCGCAGGGTCGGCCTACGCAGGCTTCTGCGGCACCCCTCGCCGCGACCGCGGGACGCCCGTTCCGCCGGCTCACCTCAGCCGAGCTCCTCGAGCGTCGCCGCCAAGGATTGTGCTTCAATTGCGACGAGCCCTACACACCCGGCCATGCCTGCCCGCGACTCTTCTACCTGGAGGTTGCAGACTACATTCCGGAGGATGCCGTCGCCGCCGACCTGGCCGCCCCAGCTGTCGAGAAGGTGTTTGACGCTGGTTGATCGCCTCGAGGAGTTCCGCCAGCGCTTCCCCACCTTACAGCTCGAGGACGAGCTGTTTGTGCAGGCGGGGAGAAGTGTTACGGCCGTAGAGGCCCACCGGGCAATCTTAGCCCACAAGTTATCTTAGGTTAATTCTTACGCAAGTTATCTTAGGCTAGTCGTTTTGAGGTTATAAATATTAGTCGTAAGATACCTTTTGAGACTAAGCAATAAAGATATTATCATCTTCTGTTGCCCGGCTCCCTGAGGAGCCGGAACCCTAGCCGCCACCAGCCAACCGCCGCCGCACCTAAACCCTAGCCGCGACAGCGCCCACTCGCCGGCGCGCCCGCTCCAGCCCTCGTCCACCTCCTCCTTGTCCCTATAACCTGCGTAGCCGCACTGGTAGGAACCCTAGTCCTACCATATATATATATATATATTAATTGCATAAGCTCTGAAAGAATGATAACTGATACAACTATGAGCAGTGTGCTAAGAAAAACATTACCTGTTAACTGACACTGTATTTCTGTCTGTCTATATAGCCAATTGCTTTAAATTGGCGGTTCATTTAATAGCTCGCGTGATTTGGACCATAACATCAGCAGCCGCACTGTGTATGGAAATGGAAAACCTTGATATGTTAAACCACGGTGGATGGTCGTTTATGTAATACAATTAAAAAAATCTTGATTTGATCAGGTGGAAGGGGAGCCTCCTTCCTGCTGGTTGGAGCTTTTGAGGGCAATTTTGGTGCTGCAACTTGAACTGCAGTTCAACATTTTTGTAGTTTTTGGAAAGACAAGTTCATGTATTCTGTATTTAGTTGAGCTTGTGTCGAAAACACATGCTAATGTGAATCACAAGTGACTGAAGAATTCACAAACATAATTTTAAACAAAAGTTTTATTTTTTTATACAAAATAAAAAAGAATAAATCAACTTGTCTAGTATGGTAGCTCAAGGTTCAGACATGATGAGGGCCATTTGACATTATTAACTACTCCTACTATGAATCAATTGATAAGAGAAAAGGAAAATTGCCCTGCTCTTAACAGAGCTGAGACTGATATCTGAAGTCAATTCTTCCCATGAAACTCCAGCAGTAGAAAAACATAGTATTCATTTTCCTTTCTTTTGGTTGGTTGGTTGGAGACAAGAGAATCTAGACTTGTTGATTTGCTTTGACTTGTGAAATCAACATTGCCGGCCATCTTTTAATAGGGTTCACAACTGGTTGGCACAATCACATCATTCACGCTGACAATTTATATGCAACTTCAGCTGCTGCAACTTGGAACAAGTCAAGTCACCAAAAAATGGTCAGTCAACTGAAGACTAGCAGCAATGCCATGCCAATTCAGTTGCCATTTCAGACAATATCATCATGTCATGTCACTGCACACTGGATTCATTTGGCCAATTCACCATACTGCATTTATATTATACCCATCACAGATTCACAAGCAAATGAAAATGCCGATTCATACCCAGAATGTACTGACAACCATACGATTAACTTCGCAAAGTTCAGCTCCAAAAAAAAAACCATGGTATCTATCTACTGTCCAACAAAGTGCCAAACAATCATAGAACACCGAAGAATTATTGCCTCTGCCATTTCTAAGGTGTTCACAATATACAGTTACATGATATCTCTGATTTTCTTTCTTGCTGTATTTTACACTCACCGTGATCCGACACAAGCTCAACACCAACATCAGACAAAAATTAATTTAATTAGGACATGTATGTACAGGAAGAGGAAGAATGTCATCATCGGCAGCAGATCATCATACAGGCGGTTGGGGATCATCGTGCCTTCGTGGCGTGGCCGTTGGTGGCCCTCGAACCACGGCGACCATCACCATTGGCCCGTGGCGATGACCGCTGGTGCACTGCAGCAGAGCGTCCGTGGGCACGGTCCCTGGATGACGTCCCGCTCCCTCCTCTTGCCTCCCTTGTCCGGCTCTTCAGTGCCTCGATCTGCTCGAGCGTCTCCAGGACCTCCTTCATCGATGGCCTGCTCCTGGGCTCACCGGCAAGGCAGTTCAGTGTCAGCTGCGCCGCCTGGTGGGACTGTTTGGAGTTGTACTGACCCTCAAACTGAGGGTCCATGAGACGGGCGAGCTTTCTCCGGTCAGCCAAGTAGGGCTTCGCCCAGTCAACCAGGCTCTGTTGCCCATTCGGACGGTTGGGGTCCAGCGCTCGCTTACCAGACAGCATCTCCAGCATCACAACTCCGAAACCGTAAACGTCACTCTTGACATACAAATGGCCTGGACATGGTTCAGAGCATGTGGTGAGAAAAGCAATCAACAGCTAAGAAAGCAACCATAGATAGCAACTTGTAAATTCTGAAGTTTGTATGGATGACTGGATGACTCGATGAATGGAGCTACCGACAACTTGAGAAGGTATTTACTCAGGTATATGAATTCAGAATCTCATATGGCATGAAAACTAACTGGAAATAGTGAACACATGGTAGGAGCGAGTTTATGGTCTTTTCGTTGATGGTGGCAGCAGAGGAATGCCCACTTGACATAGAAGGTATTGTTAGCTGAAGGAGCAATTGTCATTGCTCATGAATCATTGACAAATCTATCTGATGTAGAACTCTAAATTTGGAAAGATCCAAAGTAGGAATTCCTTGGCTATATGGGGATACTAAACCTACCTGCCATATGTTTATGTTTCAGTTTGTACAATTGACTGGCACATTGATTGCAGCCAGTATTATTATCTGATCATATATATCTGTGGTTAACAGGCATAGGGGCACATACCGGTGGCTACGTATTCCGGGGCCGCATATCCGTAGGTGCCCATCACCCTGGTCGTGATATGAGAGTTGCTACCCGTTGGTCCAAGCTTAGCAAGCCCAAAGTCAGAGAGCTTCGCATTATAACTCTGCCAAAAAAAAGGCAGTCAGCATTTGACCTTGATATATAGACAACAGATAAAAGGTACATTGCATAGTACTTCATACAACACTTACTGCATCTAGAAGAATATTGGAAGCCTTGAAGTCCCTGTAGATAACTTGCTTCTCTGATGCATGCAAGAATGCAAGTCCTCTAGCTGCGCCAATGGCTATCTTCAGCCTCAGTTCCCATGACAGCGGAGCACATCCTTCTACAGAAATGCAATAGGGTCCAACATCAGTATTGTGAATTCAACTGGTTGCTCAAGAATTGCAACCGCTTCCAGTAATCGCAGAGAAGAAAGATCAGTAATAACTCACTTCTGAAAAGATGGTTTTCCAAGCTCCCCTTGGCCATGAACTCGTAGACAAGCAACAGTTCCTTGTCCTCCCAGCAGTACCCCAACAGCTTGACAAGGTTTGGGTGCGAGAGCCTTCCCAAAAAGTTTATCTCTGACTGCAAGTTGACAATCGGAAATGTTCATCAGATACAGTAGTTGCGGCAACCTTTGGAAACAATGATTCTATTAGGCTAAACTAGGAGCACCGAGTCACGTCTGCCGGCCTAATAGTAGCATTTTATATGTACCCCAGAGCTGACCAAACAAAAATAGAAGCGACTACATTGTGATAAACATGTGGATTACTGGGTGTTCCTGGTCAGCAGTTTTGAACAGCTTATCATACCACTTTCAAACAAGATGGTCCTGGTTAGCATTAGTCAAATGGCACTGGCCAGACAGCGCAGTTCCATTGCGATATAATAGAACTGACAGCAAGGCCATCAGGAGTTAAACAAAGCACACGGAACCATAACTGTAAGCATGTAACGACCAGGAGAATCTTTAAAATTGCTGTGATTTGTTTAAACCTGACTACTAATGGTGTGTGTGTGTAGGAAGTGGACTGTAAACTCAGCTAAAACTACAAAAGTAAACTCATGACAGTTGTTCCACATGTGCCGAAGCTGAATCGAAGTTCCCATCAATCAAGAGCAAACAAAGCTAAGTGAAACCCGCAAATTCCAGTGCTCATCATACTCATCAATTTGGAATTCAGAGAGCTCAAGAAAATATTCACCTGCCATTCCTCGTACCCCTGCATGCTCTCCGAGTTGAGCTTCTTGACCGCGACGACCATGCCGGTGCCGCTCTTGGTGGGGTTCATCGTCTTCTCGTCCACCCACCCCTTGTAGACCCTCCCGAACCCCCCCTCCCCGAGGACGCTGTCGGGCCTGAAGTTCTTGGTGGCCGTCTTGAGCTCGAGGAAGGTGAAGGTGCGGAGGTTGGGCGCCTCCAGGATCTGGCCCTCGAGGAAGCCCGCCGCGGCCTCGTCGAAGCCCCCGCTGGTGCCCCCGCTGCCCGCGGAGGCCATGAAGGTGCTGCTGCCCCCCGAGGAGAGCTTCCCCGTGGTGCTGTTGCTCGTGGTGACGCTGCCGCTCGTCTTGTAGTTGGATGTCCCTGTCACGCAATAAGCAACACGTTTTTAGCACACTGAATTTGATTATTGGAGAAATTTTACAGAGAACATGGAGAGGTTCCCCTTCGGAGTAAACAGTTTGGATTGCATCAGTAACATATGGTTGCTTCAGCCTGTCTGATTCATGAAACGGGGGAAAACAAGCATCAAGCACAGTATGGATTGGAAAACTATGGTTGTTGATTCAGATAATTCCCATCCCTGATCTCTAGTGAAGAGAGGAAATCTGAGGCTGGAAGAAATCAATCGAACAACCTGTCCTGATTCCTTGACGCCGCCTCTAATCAATTCGACAGAGGACTGAATGACTGACGGACGGACATGAAAGAAACAGCGCAGCCTTGAGCTCCTCGGAGAACCAAGAATCGGAATCAGACTAAACCAAAACAGAGTCTTGGCCGAGACAACAGCCACGGCGTCTCTGCGCAGCAGACGACAGAAACAGACGTCCGAGCAGGGACCAAGAAACCCCCCGCCGGGAGCTCGCGGGATCCAGGGGTCGACGGGATCGCGTGAGGAACAACAGCGGGAGGAAGGAGAAGGGGGATCCCGAATCGAGTTCATGGAGAAGCAGATTCGTGCTCACCTGGGCTGGACGGCCGGTAGTCCGCCGCCACATCGGCCTTCCCCGCGCCGCCGCAGATGTTCCCCATCTTACCCCCTCCTCCCTCCCGCCGGAGCCAATCAGCAGAAACGACGGAAGAGGGTTGCTTGCGGAGGAGGAGACAGGGGGGAAGCGGAAGAGGGGGAGGAGGAGGAAGGAGACGAGTATGGAATGGAGAAGGGAGGGGGGGAGGGGAAGTCAAGGGGGGGCCGTGATAAGTAAGCGGAGACTGGAGTGCGAGCGAGGGGGGACGGACCAAGGAGAGAGCAAACGCTGCAAACTGAGAGGAGGGAGAAAGTCTCCGGCTTTGTTTGTTCCTCCGTGTGGCCGGCCTCCGCCTGCCCCGGACCACACTCCACCTCTCTCTTTCAGCTCAAACTCCGCGTGCCGCTTTCCATTTCTCCATAGTATATTGCCCGGAAAGGCGAAGTCGTCTTCCAGCTGCCGCCTGCCGCTGCCTATAAAAAATGGCCAAATGGGCAAACGATGCTGTGCACCGCGCCAGTTCTAAGGCCAACTCCACCGCGTGACCCCAAACGGACGTTCGTTTTATTCGGATTCTGTCCGTTTGGTCAGGGCAATAGGGTCGTGTCCGGACTTGTTCTGGGATGCGGTGGCCGTGCACCCAGCGCGCGGCCACATCCGTTTGCCCCATCTCGTCCGTCAGGGCCTAAAAATGCCCATATTTTCATATGAAAACAAGTTTTCACGTCCAAATATTAATTGTTTGAAAATTAAAATAGTTTTACAACCAAATCAAAATCGCCTTGAATGAACATAAAATGAACCAATACATCTATCGGTTGCCAACATGCTCCCACACTCGCTTACATGCCCCTTGTACTGGCCCTGCCAAGCAAATGGACAGTTCTTCCACTCTCAGTGCATACAATCTATGCTGCCAAGCATGCCTGAAAAGCCTCTAGCTGCGTTGGTCGCCAACAATCTCTCTGTATCAGCGGCAGTTGGCTGCCTCAAGTACTCTAGACCAAACACCTCGATCACAGCCTGACAGAACTTGTACATTGACATCAGACATGTTGTCTCGCTCATACGCACGTACTCATCCACCAAATCGCCTGGAATTCCATAGGCAAGCATGCGGACGGCCGCGGTGCATTTCTGGTAAGAGAAGAACCCAAGCTTGCCAAGGGCATTCGTCTTGCACTCGAAGTATGGGTCATGAGCAACCACTCCCTCTCGGATACGATTGAACACATGTCTTCCCATTCGAAAACGGCGTCGGAATTTATCCGGCTTGAAGAGCGGTTTGTTGAAAAAGTAATCGGCATAGAGCAGGGCGTGGCCTCTCTCCCTGTTGCGGTTCAGGTTGGGAGCACGGCCAGGGACTGACCGCCTATATCGAGGAAGCTACCATTGAATGTGGTCGTGAACGACCAGTGCAGCCACCATAAGATCTTCATCATCCGATGATGAATAGTCCGATGAACAAAGGAAGTGGTGGAAGAAGAACTCGTCTCCACTATCCATACATTTGTGGGCAAAATGTCGAACACCTTGCGGGCGTGGTGATGAAGAGGCCGCGATGATCACCTCGACGCAGCATGGGTGGTTGTCGGCCGGCTACTGGCCGCTCTGGAGCCGTCGGAAGCTGCCGCGGCCGCCGTGGTACGTCGCCGGCGGGCGTGTCTCCTATGCCACCGGCAAAGACGGCGACAGGCAAACCTCCTCCGATCGACAGCCAAAACTACGCCGAAAACGGTGAAGCGCGGGCGTGATGGTATGGACGGCCGGCGGCTGCGCGGTGAGGAGGCAGCCGGAGAATAGCGGCGGGGCGGGGCGGGAGAGAGAGGGTCGAAGCGTTGGGAGGGAGGGACTGCTAGTGTCCCCGACAGGCGGGCCACGGGGGGGACAAGGGCGTGCGTCCCGGCCGTCCGCGCACGTCCGTTCCACCCCAAACCGAGCGCAACTTTGGGTCGGGGATGGGTCAAAAACGGACGGATTCCGGACATTTGTCCGTTTGAGGCCGCGCGTTGGGCCGCGCTATTCGTCCGTTTTATCCCAAACGGACGCGTCCGGACAAGGGTCGCGCGGTGGAGTTGGCCTAAAAACAACATATGTGTAATCTTTTGTGACCTTGGGATGGAAATGTAATTCCCCTTTTTACGATATGGATATCGGTGTGTGCGTGAGAGAGAGTGAGTAGCCGGGGTGGCCGAGGTTGCCTTGTGTGGGCTGTGGTGATGGTTCCGCCCGGTTTCTCAGTAATTAACCAGATAATTTGAGTACTTCTTACTTAATGAGATGAGCCAAATCTTTTATACTCACTCCGTCCTGATGTATAAGTCATTTATGTAGTTCTAGGTCGACAATTTAACTATCTAAATATGTATTATATGTGATAAAAATATGTATATTTAAAAACTACATCCGTGTAGAAATCTAGCGATATACTTTTCAAGACATATGACATATATTTAATTCCTCAATCAATGACCTAGAACTACGCAAATGACTTATACATCGAGACGGAGGTAGTACCTTCCTTAAAAAACAGTGGATGGTTATATTCCGAGAAACAAGGACCAAATTTTTCATAAAGAAAAAAACGATGACTATATTCGCTTTGTGCTCGAAATATATTCTTTTTTTACCTGCTAAGCATATGGATACTTGGGCATTTTAGAAAGCGAGGATTCAAAACTTAGCTCAGGGAACGCTCCCAGGGCAAAAAAGATTGCGGTTTTCACTTGTGAGGGACCTATTCTACGGGGGAAATATACGATTATAGAAATATACTGGTTAGTACAATATTCTAGGAGAAAAGGGCATCAATTTCATGTTGAAGTAAAAACAAGTCTATATAAGACCAATATTATTAAAGATGTCATACATCTAATATCACAAAATTGTTTTTCGCCTTGGTTTGTTGGGTGTGGCTGGAATTGGTCCGAATTTCACACCACACATCTAGCCCGTGGTTAATCAGTTTGCTTGACCGAGCAAAGCCAGCTAGCTAGCTACCTACGGTTTCCTCCTAATTACCACCACAAGTGATGAATGGCTAATTAGTTTGGCCGTCCTTTCGTGTCCTTTTCTCCATCTTGTTCTAAAAGCAGACAAGGAATATGAGACTTGACTGATGCATGAGATCTTGGGAGGTTGACAATAGTGGCACCACCGGAGTTATCATTGATGGCGCCAGCTAGAATGTGTCAAACCATGCTCTCATGGAGTGTCAAACTTAGCCACTGTGCTTTCATCCGGTCTTTGATCTTGATTAGGCCAATCTAAAACCATGTTTACGTGTTAACCAGAGAGGGCCATGACTTGGTTCTCCCAGGTGTGTTCACATGATTCGATCTATATGCTAGCATATGAACTTGTGCGCACTTACACGAGCAACTATCTTTTTTTGAAAATGAGGATGACCCCGGCCTCTGCATCAGAGCTATGCATGCAACTATTTTATTAATTATTTATTTAAACCTTACAAAGTAATACATCAATATGTCCAAAGCCACCTATGCACTTGATTAAGGGGTGCAAATTGTCAGGCCGCATACCCAGACCTCACACCAAATTAAATACAACATATAAAGCCGGAGGCGCCAACCAAGACGAATTGTCGGGTCTGAGTCACACACCGGTCCAATGGGCGCACTCTCAGCGGGCACCGCATGCGCACGCTGCAGAGGCCATCACCATCCTCTTCCATCAATGCATCTTAAGAGTAGGTACTGATGCATCCACCTTGCGAGGCCTGTCGTCGATGCCACCACGGCGCCAGACAACGCCACCACCCTATGCATATCCATTATCACATATCTGTCATAGACCTGCAGCGCCAAACCATCAAGACTCCACGTCGTCAATGTGTCACAGGAACCGCCGCTCCACCGCAGAAGTCGTCCACTGGTCCCTCGAGCCTATGCACTCATCCAAGAATGACACAAGGGCACCACGTCATCTGATCGACTGATCTAGGGTTTCCCCGGAGGTAGTGAATGGAGGTCTAGAGCTTCTCCACGACGATGTCTTCAAGAAGGGAACGACACAAAAGAGTGCCGCCATTGTCGGCCTTGGAAACTAGCCGAGAGCAAGCTTTTCACCCTGATCTGCTCGACGAACCTCCATTTAGCGTTATGTCCTCGAGCCTATGCACCCCTCCAAGAATGAAGCCCCCAGGGGGGAATGACACAAGAGCACTGTGTCATCTGATCGACTGATCTACGGTTTCTCCCGGAGGTAGCGGATAGAGGTCTGGAGCTTCTCCACTATGATGCCTTCAAGAAGGAACGACACAGAAGAGCGCCGCCATCACCAGCCATGGAAACTATCTGGGAGGAAGGTTTTCAGCCCAATTTGCTCGACGAACCTCCATCTAGCATCATGTCCTTGGGTCGCCACCGATCTATGCCGCCGAGCAGCGAGCAGTCCGCACCGGCCAGATCTGTCTGACCGAAGGCCAGACCACGCGTGTCGTCGACCCATCCACTAGGCCCTCCATGCCACCTCCGTTGGTCCGAGGTCAGATCACCCGCCGTCGCAAATCCAGCCGCAGCCACTGCCCGAAGCATGGCAGTAAGCCACGCCCGCAGCCATCGCCGCCCGAGGCAGGGTCGGCCATCGCGCAGCCGCAACCCAAGACAGGGCCGGCAGTCGCGCCGCCAAGGGGCTCCGCACCACACCCATGACGCGGGAGAGAGGGAGACCCTCGTGACCGTCGTCGGCCTCGGGGCTTTAGCCCGGCGGTGGCAAGGGGAGGAAAGGAAGGAGCGGCCCTAGCGGCTAGGGTTTCGGCCTCGCCCGAGTCACCCTAGCAAGGGCGACGCGGGGTCAAGTCGAGTGGAAACACTGGTAGGTGCCACAAGTTGTGCCTTATGAGCAACTAATCTTTTTCTTTTTGAGGGAATGAGCAACTAATCTTGACTTAACTAATTATAAGCATCCTTGTTTGCTGGGAATCATCCTACAAGGATGGGTGTAAGTTGAAAGGAGGTGTGTTCTAGAAAGGGAACAGTTGACTTGAGAGCAGCCTGATTTTTTTAAACACAGGAAGGGATACGAAGGTCCCAGAGCTGGCAT